ACCACGAAGCCTCTCAGCTCCTCCCTACGAACCCGTATTCCGCCACCAAAGCCGGAGCTGAAATGCTTGTGATGGCTTACGGAAGGTCCTATGGCCTACCCGTCATAACCACCCGCGGTAACAATGTCTACGGACCAAATCAATTCCCCGAAAAGCTGATTCCAAAGTTCATCCTTCTAGCAATGAGATGACAAATCCTTTCAATTCATGGAGACGGACTAACGTTCGAAGCTACGTCTACTGCGAGGACGTTGCGAAGCTTTTGAGGTTATTCTTCATAGAGGGGAGATCGACCATGTTTATAACATTGAGACGAAGAAAGAGAGGAGGGTGATTGATGTAGCGAAAGATATCTGCAAGCTTTTTGCGTTGGATCCCACTACCGCGATTAAGTTCGTCGACAACAGGCCGTTCAAAGGCCAAAAATACTTTCTCGATGATCAGAAGCTAAAAATTTTGGGTTGGTCAGAAAGAACTACTTGGGAAGAGGGTCTGAAAAAGACTATGGATTGGTACACAAACAATCCAGATTGGTGGGGAGATGTCTCAGAAGCACTTTTACCACATCCAAGAATGCTAATGATGCCGGGCACTGAAAGACATTCCGATGGCCCTGAAATGATAATAAAGAGCATGTTGTCTCCGTTAAACAATATTAACATTCCAAGCCAAATGATAACACCACCAGTCTTAGAAACCTCATCTTTTGGGACCAAAACGCAGTCTTTGAAGTTTTTGATATACGGCAAAACCGGATGGATCGGCGGCCTTCTTAGGAAGATATGTGAGAAGCAAGGGATACCGTTTGAGTACGAAAAAGGCAGATTAGAAGACCGATCCCAGCTCCAATCTGATATTCATAATGTGAAGCCAACACATGTTTTCAATGCCGCTGGTGTCACCGGCAGGCCAAATGTCGAGTGGTGCAAATCTCATCGACAAGAAACCATTTGCACTAAATTTGTTGGAACGTTGACTCTGGCTGATGTTTGCTCCGAGAATGGTTTGTTGCTAATGAATTATGCGATTGGGTGTATCTTTGAATATGATGCTAATCACCCCGAAGGCTCGGGCTATGGATTCGTGGAGGAAGATCGCTCAAACTTCGTTGGTTCCTTCTATTCGAAAACAAAGGCCATGGTAAGGTTATATATAAGGTTAAATTGTCAAAATACTCCCGGACTCGTATATTATTTTAGCCCCAGAGTCTATCAAAATTTCAAATTAGCTCCCAGACAGGTTGAGGAGCTTCTGAAGGAGTACGACAACGTCTGTACTTTAAGAGTCCGAATGCCGATATCATCTGATCTAAACAATCCTCGGAACTTCATCACGAAGATCAGTCGGTACAACAAGGTGGTTAATATCCCAAACAGCATGACTGTATTGGATGAGTTGCTTCCAATCTCGATCGAGATGGCTAAGAGAAACTGCAGGGGAATATGGAATTTCACCAACCCAGGTGTTGTGAGCCACAATGAGATCCTGGAGTTGTACAAGGCTTATATTGATCCTGGCTTCAGTTGGGTCAACTTTACATTCAAAGAAGTGGCGAAGGTGATCGTCGCGCCTCGCAGCAATAACTAATTGGATGCTTTGAAATTGAAGAGCGAGTTTCTGAAGCTGCTGTCGATTAAAGAATCTCTCATAAAATATGTGTTTGAGCCCAACAGGAAGCAGGTGAAGTGATGCTATGGATGGGATAATCTTTTGGAGAGAAACAAAAGGAAATACTAATTTTTAGAATGAATTTGGTAGTTAGTCTTATGTTTTGATAATGACTTTAATAACTATAGAATTTGTTTATGTTTGAAGAAGTATTTGGTATAGATTTGGTTGGAATTTACGAAGTAAATGCAGCACACATTTTATTCAAATACACTATTATTTGATGTGGGTATTTCTTTTTGGATTTTTATATGCTTTGTTAATGCTGCTGTTGGCTATCTGCAATTTGTTTTAATGAAAATGATTGGGGCAAAATACAATATAAAAATCAAGTTAAAAGGATGATTTTTTGTTGTTGATTCAAGATGTTGATGGACGGGGCCTAATGTATTGTGTAAGGCTTTCTACAATTATTGTTCGACTAAGTTGATATTTTGTTGAAGAAGGGACAATGATTCGTGTAAGGGCTTTGATTTTGGTGGGTGAATGTTTACATACATTAGCCTTATTTTTATGTATTTATAGATATAATGATTAAATTTTATTTTTACATTTATACGGCCAATATCTTTCATATCACATAAAGGGTACCACTATTTTAATTTTTAAAAAGTTAAATACATCTCTTATGCATATGCAAGATGACTAAAGCTGTTAGATATGTGAATCTGTAAATATGTAGAAATTAAGTGGTAGATATTTAAATAAATAAATAAATATATATATATATATATATATACACACCACTTTTGATGCTGTTGTAAGAGAGTTCCCTTTCCATTTGCCTGCAAAACTTAGCACATGTATTTCCCTTGTTACCTGGATCTATGTTTGGCTGCTGCTTGTTTGCAGATTCTGAAATTGCTATTGTGTGTTATGATTATTCCTTCAAAGAGAGCACCACAAAGAAGTTTCAGATTGTCTCAGTGCAGATCAAGATGTTAATAGCTTTGATTTCTATTGTAATTGCTATGATTTTTCCTTCTTATAAGGATGATTACATATCTAATACTCTTGTTATGATTGTTGATGCTTTTTGCACTTATGTATGTTTTTTGTAAGAAATTAAAGTTCAGGGGATATATTAATACATATAAATTGAGTGGTATGTATGTAAGTGTTCAGTTTTTCGAAAACTTAAAAAGGAATCTTCTTATGGCGAGAAGGGCACAGGTAAACTTCCCTTAGACAATTTATGTTGATGTTTGTTGTAAGATTCAATTTCTGTTTAAAAGTTCTAATGTTTCTGAATTCAATTTATTGCATGGATAATTTTCTCAGTTGGTGTAAATCCTTTTAAGTTAGTAGGATTTAGGCTCCGTTTGGGGCAGCGTTTAATGAGCGTCGCGGCCCCAAATCGCGAAGTTATCTTTTTTTTCGTGTGCTTTCTTTAGCGGTTGCCCCGCTCCTTCACCCCGCACGGCTCGAAGGCTCCCCTACCCTCGTTCGGGAAACCCGCCGCTCCCTTCCTTGTCGCGAAGCCCCTACGCCGCTGCTCCCTTGCTTGTCGCAAAGCCTCCCCCCGCTCCTCCCCCTACTAGGCCGCTACTAGTAGCCCGCTACTCACCTTCCACCATCGCTCGGGTGTGGAGTCCTGATCGAAGCCACTATTCCTAATCGGTATGTCTCCTCTCCTCTCAATTTTTTCTTCGTATTTTGTTTCTACTTCGTGGTTTACGTATCCGGGGGAGTCGTTCCTGTTGTTTTTTGTTGTTACCGTATCCGTTTCGGGACTCCTTGTACATGCAAGAGAAAACAGTTTTTTTTTAATTTTATTTTTATTTCTTGTGATATTTGATGAAGATTATAAATATGGACTCAAATGCATGAAGAATAATTAACTTGTGATTGATATATGATATATGATATTATAATTATATGATGTATGATATATGATATATGATATTATAATTATGACAAAGTGATTGATATATGATACCATTATGTCAACTTCAGCTCTGTTTGATCAATTTTTGTTAATGATTGTTCTTTAAAGAAAAAAAAAAATGTTCCTCCGTGGCTTTACCTTTTACATTATGTCTGTTTTACAATTGCCTTTTGCTAGAACAGTGTTATGGAATGGTACAGGTTTGTTACATATTACAGATTTGTTACATATATTTTATATCATATTACAGGTTTGTTACATATATAAGCTTATTTATGTAAGCTGTTTCTCTGAATGCCTTTCAATTTTCATGACTTTAGAGAAAGTAGCATCTAGCTTTCTAGCTGGTTCCATGATCACGATTGGGCACTTCAAATCTCTTATGCTTAATTCGTTTGTTCTGTAGTTTGGTGGAGTGAACTGTATGCTCGGTGAATTGACTGAACTTAGTTTCATACTGCCAATATTTTTTGTTGCTGATATTACCCGTTTGATATCCTGGAGTTCCTTACAGGAGTGTTGGCATGGAAGCTTTTGTATTCTCTTCTCGGCCTTTTTGAAAACTGATTCAATTTTCTGATTCATATATGCTTCTACATTTTCTATCAGTATCTGTGGAGTTTCTTCATTTGAAAATTTGGAAAGTAAATCCAAGTGTGGATTGTTTCTCCTCGGAGGCTTGGCAATGTTTCTTGGTGACCGCAAGGTCTTCTCATGAGCTGCAACCTGGTTCTGCTTATTGTAGGGATCATAGCTTCGGATACTATTTTGTGCAGCTGAATTTAGAGGTTCCAAACCCATAATCTTTGCAACACATTTCTATTTTAACCTTTAAAATGTGAAATACACCTGGCATATATGTAAAAATTGAAGTTTAGGTGTTATATATGTAAATACATAGGAATTGACTGGTATGTATGTAAATCTTGGTAAAAAATTAAAATTTAGTTGTTACATATGTAAATACATAGGAGTTGTGGTATTTATGTAATTATTTATTTGAAGATTGCAGTTCTGGTGAAATTGTGAACTAATAATTGTGTAATTAGCTTCTTTTTTAGCTAAGAATTATGTAGTATAGCATAGATTCTTTTTTATATCAATAAGGCTGTAAGATCTTTAATGCAATACACAATAAGGCTGCAGGGTCTCTGTTTAGTTTTAATACAATGTTTATAAAACTTCAATATTATGTGAATTTGATGTACATTAGTCAGGAATAACAGCTGCTATATGCACATTTTATTGAGATGAGGAGTCATGAATCTGAATAGTACTGATCACTGCCATCTTCCCCTTTCCAGCCATGTTTTTCCTCATGGCTGCACTGTGCTGATTATAGTTTCATTCCAAGATATGTTGTTTACTTCTGATTGAAGTCTTGCTTATGTGTTACTGTGATTTAAATATGGTTGGAATTGTTGCTCATCTTCACCTAATATTCATATGTGTAACTGCTTGCTTTGTATCTTTGCCCATAATCGACATTTACCAACAAATTTTGCAATGAAATAATGATTTTATGTAATTATCTGTTATTGAAAAACTTGAGTAGCAAAGTTTGATTCCCGCTGAATGTGCACCGTTGGCTCGCACTTAAAAAATTTATGGAATGGATGTAGATGCTCCTATATTACTGGTAATAAAAGTACATTTTTGAAATATATAAAATGCTTGTTTATATTTTACATATTTAGCTTGTAAAGTGAATTTCTGCTTCTGATATATAATATATAAGATTGTCATTGTTCTGTTCTAAACAGTTTAACTAAACACGGGCAGAATGATCATTTTTCAGAAACAACCGTCTCACAGCTGTTTTCACACAGCTGTAACAAACAACCAGTCAGTTTCCCCACAGCAGTTTTCCTACAACAGCTTCCTGGGACATTGCAGCTGCGTCAAACAGACCCTAAAAAGTTAAATACATCTCTTATCCATATGTAAGATAACTAAAGTTGTTAGATATGTGAATATGTAAATATGTAGAAATTATGTGCTAGATGTATATATATATATATCTATTATATATATATATATATATATATAGACACACACACACACACCACATTTGATGTTGTTGTAAGAAAGTTCCCTTCTCATTTGCCTGCAAAACTTAGCGCATGTATTTCTCTTCTTACCTTGATCTATGTTTGGCTGCTGCTTGTTTGCAGATTCTGAAATTGCTATTGTAATTGCTATGATTATTCCTTCAAAGAGAGCACCACAAAGAAGTTTTAGATTGTCTCAGTGCAGATCAAGATTTGAATAGCTTTGATTTCGATTGTAATTGCTATGATATTTCCTTCTTATAAGGATGGTTACATATCTAATACTATTGTTATGATAGTTGATGCTTTTTGCACTTATGTATGTTTTTGTAAGAAATTAAAGATAAGAGGTTAGATATATAAATACATATAAATTGAGTGGTATGTATGTAAGTGTTCGAAAACTTAAAAAGGAATTTTCTTATGTGAAAACAGATACGACTAAGGATAAGGCGCAATATAAACAATTCATTATGCTGATGATTCTAATGAAAATCAATCGAGTAATGAGATTAATAGGAATTTTTAAATTTAAAAATTCAAATATTGATGACTTGTTATATTCTTGTTTAAGTGGTGGGTATGGGAGAGACAAACTTATATTTAATTTAGTTTAATTGTTTTGTTTTAATATAACTATTTTAATTTAATATATTTGCTTACTTTGATAATTTAATGTTTAAATAACTCATCTTATTTCTTAGTTTGATGTTAGGATATTAACGTGTTACTTCTAAATTTATGTAATTTTTTATTTTTTTACTTAGAATGTTGTTATGTTATTTTATAATGTTTTAATAAGTTAGAATATTTACATATTATTTCTTACTTCACATTTGATAGTTTATATAATATTTATCACTTCACTCAATGTTGTAAATTTGAGGCTTATGCCTGGCCTCATAAACGAAAGAAGCCTCAGTACTTAATTGAGCAATTTCAAAGCTGGCGAGAGCAAGTTAAATATGTGGATTTATTGTGTTGACCCCATATAATGGATGGTGCTAATGATGATGCTGATGATGGTGAATCAACAATATAGTATCTTCTTCTAATGCAGTGTCTGCAGCTCATATAAAAATTTTTTCACATCTAGATGCATACTACTCAAGTTCTGCTTATATGATTTTTAAGAAAGGATGATCCATTATGATTTACATGTTGAATACAAAAATGATTTGAGATTTTATTACCTAATAAGTACTTCTGCAGGACTGAAAAGGAGCTCCATAAGCGCCAAGACACTTTCAAATTTGAGATCGAAAGTGAAGCAAATGGCGTCCGAAATTTGCTACTAGGTAGTATCATCATTCTTCATTGCTGTCATTTTGTATAATTTTTAAATTTTCTTTTCCTGGTTTTTTAAAATAGGTTTTTCCATCTAAAATAGGGGCATTTACCTCCATACCACATAATTCTTATGTATTTACATATCTCACACTTAAACTTTCATATTTATACACCTAACACTCACATCTTTAATATCACATAAAAAATAGCACTATTAGCACTTTTGAAATTGAAATTTTATTTCATGCATGTTTAAAGCACCAAAGTCTTTTCTACGTAAATATGAAAGTTGGGTGTGATTTTTGTAAATACATGAGAATTGTTGCTGCATGTGTAAATTTCCCTTGTAATTAATGTTATCGAGTCAAAAACTCATATAAGGCTCCAGATTTTAACTGCCCTCAGATGTGATTAATTGTCTCATCAGGGAAGAGTTACTTGGACAAAGTAAAAAATCTGATGAGATAAACAGAACTACAGGGTTGGATAATCATGGTATTGTTGTTCTGCAACGGCAAATTATGAAAGGTATATTTAGGGAATTTAAGTTTCATTTGTGTGTTTCTGTGTTTGATATTTATTTATATTTTTATTGATAAATAGAGCAAGACGAGGGCCTCGAAAAGCTGGAGGAAACAGTATTGAGCACAAAGCATATTGCATTGGCCGTTAATGAAGAGCTGGATTTACAAACTAGATTAATTGTATGCACAACATTTTATAGATTTTTATACTCTTATTATTGCTGTATTTTTATTTCTCGCATCATATTTTAAATTATTTTTAGCAAGCTTTACAGACATACCACTTAATTCCTATGTATTTATATCTAACAATTATACTTCACAACTTTCACAAATATGCCTCCTAACTTTTGCATGAAAAGGTGAATTTCACTTTTTTAATGTTAATAGTGGTATTTTTTATGTGATATGAAATATTTCGGCGGTGTAAATGTAAAAGGTAAAATTTAGGTGTTTGATATGCAAATCCGTAGGGATTGGCTGTTATGTATGTAAATGCCCCTTATTTTTAATGTTTTTTCTTTTCAGGACAACTTGGACGAACATGTGGATATTACAGACTCTCGGCTTCAGGTAACATCATTCTAGTAAGCTATGATTTTATATTTGAAAGATGAGTGAACCAGTTTATAAAATTTATGATTGAATTTTGGTTCGATGTTGTATGGTCTGGAAGTTTTAGTAAATTTCGCTATTATCCAAATATACAGGTGTTTGGTTTTTGAGTTTGAACCAGATTCAATAGTAGAACCTGTGTATTTGCATGTTGATTTTTCAACTAGTGTGTGAAATTCCTAGATTTTTTTTTAGAGTAAATTGTCAAGTTAGTCCCCAGACTATTATGAGGCCATTTTAGTCCAAGATTTATAGAAATGCTAAATTATTCCCTTACTCTTTTTATGGGGTTAAAATACTTATTAGTTGGGATTATTTTAACCCATATTAAAAGTGTCCAGTGACTAAATTGCACTTTTATAAACTTCAGGATTAAAATGATCCCCCACAATCAGATGACCATTTTGTTACTTACTCTAATCTTATATGCAACATGATATCAATATCTAAATTCAATACATAAATAAATCTTTTAAATTCACCAGCATATGAATGGTTGAAACAAATCAACCAATTTATCAAAATGGGGAAAATCATGTCATATTATTAAGGTTGAAGATGACAGTAATGCAGTAATTCCCGAAATTTCTAACAAACGAAATCAAAAGGCAACCATTAAGGTTTTAAATCTTAATATATCATGATCATCATCATTATCACAACCATTTGGAGTTTTCTTTATGAGTCTCATTTTACATTTATCATTACATTGATGCATGAGGTGTGAATAGCAGATTACTAGGTGTTAACCTTTCTTTAGATGGTTGATACAGTTGCCTAAGTAATTTAGTCGAATGTGCCAAACCTTGCGATGATTGTGTCATATTTGGGGCCATTTTATGGTCATTTTTTTGTAGGTTTTTGTTAACTTTAGAGTGGCCATGTCTTGGCATTGAAAGGTGACAAGATTTAGGTGGCTAGGTAATGATTTCGGTAAAATTTACTCTTTAGAAATTATAATAATAATAATAGCATCATAATTTAGGGCTCGTTTGGCCGCACGACTTGCCTCCTTTCCTTTTCGGAAAACGTCAGAAGAATGCTGGAGGTCGTTTGGCCAACAAGCTTCAGTAGAAGCGCGTCTACTGGAACGGCGAAATTCGTCTTTTTCAGATCATGAGGAGGTCCCTCCGTTTCAGTGTTCTGGATCGTGTCCTTTTGTTTCGGTGTTCTGCCGAAGCCTTTATTCAAACATACATGGTGTTTAGCGACCGGAGCATTTTAATGGCGTTATTCTACCCATAGCATTTAAACCAAATTTTTTCAACTGCAACGCTGGCTCAAACGAGGCATTATTACATTTTCAGGTAATTAGCAGATAAGATAATTAAGAAGTTCTTGATTAAATTTGATGCTATATAAGATTCAAAACATTATATTATGACTTGATTAGTTATATCACAAAACCATACAATTTGAAAATACACGAGGTGTGCTAGAAAAATACAGAATTATAACTTATAAGGATTTGAAGAATAATTCGATGTCTAATGCTTGAATGAGAAAAGAGGTGGCTCTTAATAATTTAAAGGAATTTCTTCAATAAAGTTGAAGAATCCAGGGCAAGTTCACATAGTAACACTTAATGTTGGTGCACATCTGTCAAACAAGAAAATAATTTTGGAGCAAAAAAAAAGATGTTTATGGAATGTTCTCCAATATTAAAATGGTGTTTATTCGAGGGCTGTCACCCAAACAAACGTGATCTAAGCACTCTAAGGTGTTTCAGGTGGCACTTCGTCATAAGTGTGTCGGGTCCTTTGATGCGATCTTGTTGCTAGGCATGAATATGTGATTTGTTCATTGCAATTTTTTAACATTTTGAAAATATTAGATTTATCATGAACATTCTTGAGAGCAAATTCAGCCATGAAAACATAGGATTTTCACCCTGGTTTCTTGTTTGGAGGATTTACATCCATGCCGCTCGATTCCTATGTATTTACATATCTAACACCTAAACTTAAATTTTTACATACATGCCACCTTATCTATGCATGAAAAGGTGTAATTCACTTTTTAATAGTTAAAGTGGTGGTATTTTAGATGTGAGATGAAAGATAAAATACATAAGACTTGGCATGTATGCAAATTTTCCTTTTTATTTTTGATGCCAGATGTAGATTCCTGTCTGTGGCTGTATTTGATGATTGCCATTCTGCTTCATTAATATGAGGATAGGATGAACGAGAAGAGCTGTGGTGATTTAATTAACAGAGATGATGTGATAAATTAAGGAGGAGAAATACATGTATTGAATCACCTAGGATATTGATTTATTACAATTACCTTAATGGAATCCACTTATAGGATTTTACTAATTTAATTTGTTTGGATGAGATATCACTGAGTTTCCCTTGAGAACTGGCATAAGTGCGATATCCTTTATAGAATATTTTTAGTTGAAACAACAAATAATATTTTTTATGAACTGTAGCTTAGTTCATTTGTATACTTTTGCTTAGTCATTTAATTAAGCAAGAGTGATAACAAACATGATTTAAAGGTTAATTATGTGTCGCTACATGGCGTGTAAATCTTCGATAATATGATTTAAACAATGCTGGAATTTTTTTGTGTACGACCCTGATTTGGTTTATGCAATTCATTTTAATATTTACCAATTATAGGATATTGTCCTTTAATATTTTATGTTCTTAAGGTTTTGCCCACATAAAATGTAGGAGTTATGTTACCTCGCCGTTGTTCTCTTGTTATTAGCTTGAACAATAACCTACCTATTTGTTAAAATTGCGTGTTTGTTAATTTTTTTTATTATACCAATTTACATGTCCTAAATATATTTGACATGATGATGCAGTCATAAGTTTAGATAACAATTTGTTGCAGGATAATTAAGGATTAGAATTCTTGATGCAAATTTATTGTTGTAATGTGTAATCCTGAGAATTTATTATTCACTAATAAGAAACCATTAAATAAGTTGGCAAATTACTTTTTTTTTAAATGTAAAAAATAAACAAGAGATCTACAACCCAAGCGATATTATGATAATCAATTAAATGTAAAGGGCTTATCAAGAAATTTGAACGATACAAAATCCATGTGTAATTGTTATTTAATGACCACAAGTAATATAAGAGCAATAATAAGCCAAAAACAAGTAGTTACATTTATACCAACACTTGAAGAAATCACACGTTCAATTTGTACTCACAAAATTATAAACTAGAAGAGATTTTTTTTTTTTTTTTTTTTTTTCAATTTAAATAATAATTTACATGCCTAAAAACAACTATTTATTGACTCTTGGATATGATCTGCACAAAGAAATCACGACATAATATGAAATTTCAAAACAACATTTAATAATTAAAGAAATTTCGATCATAGTCATAGGAATAGATAGATAACCATCTTGAAAAATTGGTTCTTTCCCAGAAAGTAAAACATGGGAATACAGTCCATGTCAGCTTGATTGAACTTGAAGGTATCATAGAACCAAACCAACTTAATTTCATAATAGATTTATATAAACCAATCGAACATCTGAAAATAGAAAATACTCATCTTAATGCCATCCATCATCAACTACTGGAATTACAAAATAACATTGAATAAAATAATTAATGAAAACAAATGAACTTCTTTTGATGAATAAACACATAAATTTTTTTTTCGTCATGTGATCGGGATCCAAGTAATCATCTTCATTCCACATCCAATGCTTCAAACTCTTTACCTTTTATCTCCCTAAATATAAGTTTAACAAGAAAGGGCATTTACATACCTACCGCCCAACTCTTATATATTTTTATCTATAGCACCTAAATTTTGCATTTTACATTTATACGTCCAAATCTTTTCATATCACATCAGAAGTATCATTATTTTAAAAGTTTAGGTATAGATATGTAAATACATAATATTTGAGTGGTATGTCTATATATCATTTTTTTTTTTTTTTTTTTTTTTTTTTTTTTTTTTTTTTTTTTGCGATTTCTATTATTTATAATAGCAGGCCTTCTCTTTTCACTTTTCACCCTTTAAATTTTATGTTGTACACATGCAGCGTGTGCAAAAGAGGTTGGCCATCCTTAACAAGCGTACGAAAGGAGGCTGCTCGTGCATCTGCTTGCTCTTGTCTGTCGTCGTCATCGTCATGTTGGCTGTTGTTGCTTGGCTTCTTTTCACTCACTTGTAAAAACCATTTTCTTACACAATTCTCCTCTGGTTTGCTCTTTTCTCAGTGTGGAATCTTATTTCAAAAGCAGGCACTGTGTTTTCCTTGATTGTATCTGCAAAGATTTGGTTTTTATACGTTGAAAGTGTGGTAATTCTGTAAATGTGTTTTAAGTGAAAAAAAAAAAAAAAAAACCTATGATATATGTTTGTGAGCAGGATGTTTTCTGTGAACTTTTTCACTATATACTTGTTTGTCTGTCAAATGTTTGCCTTTTTATTTGGGTACATATCACTCAATTATTATGAGTTTACATATCTAACTCCTCCAAAATTTTTCATTTTACATTTATACCATCCAGATCTTTTGCATCACATAAAAAAAGACCACTTTTTTAATTTTTAAGGAGTGAAATACACCTTTTATTGCGCGGGTAAGATGGTATGTATGTAAATTCATAAGAATGGATTGTTATGTATGTAATGCCTTTTCTGTACACTGTTCCAGTTCACTGAATTCACATTTTACAGGGCAAGTTCAGAATTTTTTTTTTTTTCTTTATGAATCCAGATTTGCAAATCTGCGTTCTTTTGATTTGTGAAACAAGGGTGGGATTGTGTGATGTCAACGGAGAAAATTTTGATCAGGATTTTCTGACTCAAAACGGATTGAGTTTTTTTATCATTATATTTCTTTTGAGATTAGTATTAATATATACTCAAAAGTAAATTCGATGATTATGAAAAATAGGAAGATTTACATGCATACCATACAATTCCCATGTATTTACATATCTAATACTTGAATTTCAATTTTTACATATATGCCATCTTATCTATATGCATGAAATGGTGTTGTTGTGATATGAAAGATTTGGGTGTTATAAATGTAAAAAAAAAATTCATATATATGTAGACCTTTTTACATATATAAGACCTTACTTTTTACCTTTATGGCACCCAAATTTTGGCATGGCACATAAAAAAAATTAAGTTTGAAATAAAAGTTAAATAATTTAATTTGAACAAACACCAACTAAACCAAAAAAATTAAAAAACACATTATCATTTCCAATACAGGATAATAATTTAATCAACATCCAACAATTCGTAATGTATTGTCAATTGTTTCTTGCAATATATAATTTGGCCGTTAAATTTAAATTTCTAATAAAATAAATTTTGACTTGGAACTTGTTTGATAGATTCACACACATACCAATCAATTCCTATGTATTTACACCACCTAAAATTCAATTTTTTGGGCATTTTCGTACATAATACTCCGATGTATTTGCAAATCTGACACCTAAACTTTACTTTTTCTTACATTTATACCGCCCAAGTCTTTCATATCACATCAAAAATATATCACTATTTTAAATTTAAAAGCATGAAATACATCTTTTGATAAAGTGACATATATATAAATTGAAGTTTAGTTGAAACACAACAATTCCACTCACTAATGGTATAACCACGAACCTAAAAGAAGAGAGTTTATTATTATACAAACAATGAGTAGCTAGAATTACAAAAAAAAAGCCAACACCAACAATTATACACATAATGTTACCAAATTAACAGTGATTAACATTATGAATAACATATAAAATATAAAACATTATAAAATACCTAAGCGTGCTCCATTCCTCTAAAGCCCCTTCCCTGCAAAAAAACAAGCTTTCTTTCCACAGTCAAACCGGGGGCACACAAGACAACTTCTGTAATACAATACCTCTCATCTCATCCTATCAGCATTCAAGAAATGGTTGCTAGGATTAACAAAACCATTTTGGGTGCATGACTCCGCTAATTCCTTCAAGAACAGCACGACGTCCTCTGAGGAGTTGAGAAGATACCTCGCGCTCGACCGCTTCCTTCCAACGGCGCAGGAGAAGTAGTTGTCGCCCTTGAGATCGAGCACGGAGAATCCTTCGTGCCAGGAGGAGGCGTCTTGGGCCGATTTCGAGGGGTTTAGTTTGTTATTATTGTGGTTGTGGTTGGATGATGATGATGATAGTGATGGCGATGATGAAGAAGATGAGGACGAAGCCTTCCTTTCTAATGAAAAGGAGCCCTTCTGGTTCCTTCCATGAGAGACTCTCATGGTGTTTTTGATGTTGGAAGGCTTCCCTGTGTTCCTCTTCTCGGCAGATGATTTGAAAATTTCTGCTGTTTTTGATCTGGAGCAGGCTAAGGGTTCGGATGGGAGCTCCGGCTCGAAGAATGTGTAGATATCTTCGTCCTGAAAGAATTATTTAAGCAGCAGAGAGATATAATATTAATGATATGTAGGAAATGGTTCTCTAAGATGATAATGATTAAAAAATCTGGCGCAAAAATTGTTTCCAATCATTCTGTAATCTTCATTCCAAAACAAGAAAGATGACAGATGGACAGAGAGATATTTGAATCATAGATTAAAGAAAGTGCTAATGACAACAAATAGCAAAATTTTTGTAGAAGCATTTACATACATACACCAATTCTTATGTATTTACAACCTTTCTTTTTTCTTTTATACCACCCAAGGCTTTAATATAAAAAATGCCACCTTTTTTGTATTTGAAGGTGCAAAATAAAAACATTTAAACCAAACAGAAACCTCAAGGGTCTATAATTAGTAATTTTAGAGAATGCGATGCTAAGGCTAGAATTATAAAGTGACACTTGCATGTAAGAAGTTTTTAAATAATTCAAATTTATTGCATAAGAATGAGAATAAATGAGAATATTTAGAGAAGTTAAAATAGAGAAATGTCTTATGAGCACTGTACAGTAAGAGAACAGCAAGTAATCTTAAAGATAAACTTTAATAAAATGCAATAAGGTGGGCTACAATGTTTGTATTATATGAGGATTGAGGAGTATTAAGACATTAATAGCCAACCTAAGATTTTTGAAAATGAGAATGTTAACTAATGTGTAAAAATACCAAAAAGAATGGATTAAAATATCAGTATACTACAGAGATGATGCAAATTAAAATCAATTGAAATTCAGAATTGTGAAAATAAACAACATGGATTTGGGCATGCACAATAAATGATATAAGATGCATCAATAAGATGGTAAATAAAATTAATACTGAATAAAGAAAAAGGAATTGACAAAATATGGTTAAACTTTGTGCAAAAATATATCAGTAAGGCAGGTTTGATACCATGCAACACTCAATCAAACAAAAAAGAAAATTAGGATTCATAAAGCTAAAATTGAATAATTAAGACAAAGCTAATGATGATTATGATATGACCAACCTTAAAGCTTGCTTTCTTTTCACCAAATTCATGATTTTCCCATTTACATACTAATTCTTATAGATTTGTTCTTAACAATCTACATCAAAAAACACAAGATAAAATGATTTTGAAAAACTAGCGAACAAATAAACAACATGAGAATACTAGAAGTTAGAGAAAATAAGTGTTAAGAAAAATCAACCTTTCCAAGAAAGCGACCGATGCATAAAACGTAATCTATCGGCACACTCATGTTCTTGCTGTGAACAATTTCTCCCAATATCCGATCGATTGCGGCACCCTGTATACATTAAAGATATTAAAACTTCAGTAAATTCAATAAAGATGTAATAGATGAAAACAATTATGATCCAAAATAAAGATTAGTCTTCAATGAACTTTTTTAATACAAGTCGCCAAGAATAGTCCTTGAAAAGCATAAGATAAATTATGAATAAATAAATCCAAATGAACCCATGATCACTAGTTAACATGCGGACTGCTAAAACTTGCTATATATTTATATTTATTCAACACATAGTATCAATAAATTAATAATTGTTCAATCGTTAGTATTTTGATATATTAAGTAGTGATCATGGGTTCAATCCCTCCCTCCAATACATTTTTATTTTAATCTCTAGTCAACTTGGAATCATCTTTGATATGATTGGAATCAATTGAGTTATAGTCCGAGCAAAATCTACTCAATAATTTTGAGTTGCAGCTAAGATGAACTCCTGAACTCGGCTAACTGATGATGATGAAGAGAAAAACAAATTAATTAGGTATAAAGGAAAGGTTAATTACCAAAAAGCACCAAGTTTTCTCTGAAATTGAACACATGGTTTACAACTATCGACTGACAACTGAAAAAACTAGAAATAAAAGAACCTCAGAAGTCAAATTCCTTTCCTACTATTTACATCCAAAAATAGATTATCATGAGTCGTCTCAGTTCTGTAACTGCAACTTTCTACATCAACATTGGTTTCAAACAGGTTGACCCACCTTTGTCACTCCCACGAAACGAACCTCAACTGACCTGCTACCTTGGACAACATCAAGAGCTGCATTAGAAATTGGGCCTGTCCACAGATGTTGTAGCATATCCCTTGCTTGGAGCCTTCCGAAATCAACATCTTCGTAAACAGCGAAAATGAAGCAAACAAGGTAGCATTAGCATTGAATGTGCAATATTATAGAACAAAATAAAGGAAATTTACATAAGTAGCATACAATTCTTATGTATTTAGCTGATACCGGAGTTAACCCAAACCACGATGCACGACATCATTTTATTCATGACTTAAAACAAGGTAACAATGAAGACTCAAAAGAAAGAAAGACAACACACAAAATAAAAGCTTAAAACAAAAGATTACAAATAAAAACTCGACAATAGAAAACATAACAAACTTAATGTAGAGGGAGTTTGAGTGGTAGTGCAAGGCAGACGGATACGGTGAAGGTCGGAGAGGTGTCTCGCTGATGTAGAAGGGATGGGCAACAAATCAACGAGGGCAGGGGCATCAAAACCGCAGTTGGAGGAAGCTTGGAAGGGCAGCGATAGTTGTGGCCTGCAGGGAAGCAGAAGGGAGTATTTGTTGGTTTGTTGTTGGAGCAACGCTGTCAACGACAGCCGTGGTTGTGGTATGTGGGGAAGGAACCAAGGGACAGCAAGGCTAGCAGGCTGATGGGAGGGCTGACGGTCAGCCAGGGGCAGGAGCTGGAAGGGCTCTTAGTAGGTGGTTAAAGAAGAAGCCAACGACTGGAATAGGTTCTGAGGGAAGAAGCAAGGCTGGCAGCAGTGGAAGGGATGCAGTGGCTGGACGGGAGAAAGAAGGTGGCTATGAAGGAGAAGTATATTAGAGTAACCTCCCACTGAATTTTCTTTTCAATATACATAAGCCTCTGCTGAAGATGGTAGAGCTCTGGCCGTATCTCATCCTGGTAGGCTCGGGCATAGATCTCCTTGGTGGCATGGTTAGGATTTGGGATCTGTGGACGGAAAGAAAAGAAAGAACAAAGAAAGAAAATAATGTGAAAGAAAGTATTTTTTTTATTGTGAGGATTGAGTAGGGGTGGATGCTAGAAATCCTAAGATGAAATTAGGATTGAACTAGCTCTATTACCAAATGATACCGGAGTTAACCCAAACCACTCTACACGACACAATTTTATTAATGACTTAAACAAGGTTACAATGAAAACTCAAAAGAAAGAAAGAGAACACATAAAACAAAAGCGTAAAACAAAGGATTAAAAATAAAGACTTGACAAAAGAAGACAACAAGTTTGATGCGACTGCGGTGAGGGCCGGAGAGGTGTCTCGCTCTTGTGGAAGGGATGTGAAACAAATTAACAAGGGTAGGGGCATCAATACACAGTTATAGGAAGCTTGGAAGGGCAGCAATTGTTGTGACCTGCAGGGAAGCTACAAGGAGAGTTCGTTAGTTTGTTGTTAGAGCGATGCTGTCAATGGACAGTGGTGATTGTAATCTGTAGGGAAGGAACCAGAGGGGGCAGTAAGGCTGGCGGGTTGTTGAGATGGCTGGCCAGGGGCAGGGAGGAGATGGAAGGGCTGTTTATAGGTGGTTAACGAGGAAGACAGCAGCTGACGGAGTACTGAGGAAAGGAGCAAGGCTGGCAGCAGTGGAAGGGGAGTTGCGTGGCTGGATAGGAACAGGAAGGTGGCTGACAGCAGTTGAAGAAGGGGTTGTAGGGGTTGGATTCTGAAATGATAGTAGGGAAATGGAAGTACGGTAAGATAAATGTCTCATTGGGGTTGCTACAGTCGTAGCACTGCTCGGACCTTGGAGACGATCGCCACCTCAAACGAGAGACAGCCCGAGCACTAGATTGACATTGGAAACAATACTCAAAGGGATAATATCAAGGCTAAAACCTGAATTCAGATATAAAAAATAAGACACCTAACTCTAAACGCATCATCCTCTATTTATATTGAGGTTAGGACTTTATTTAGGCAATACATAAAATAAGAAGGAAGAATCAAATCAGGTTTCAGATCGAGGAAAGGAAATAAAGTGAAGGAAAATCAGATTTGAGTAAGGGTAAATAAAGTAATCAAAATTCAGATTTTGGAAAGGACTTCAAAATATAAAAGGTTTTAAAATAAGAAAGAAGAATAAAATATAATTAGGATTTCAAATTTTAGGAAATGATTTAAAATAGGAAAGTTCTAGAAAAGAAAGAAAGGGAGGAAATGAAAAAGGAAAGAGAGGAGCGATAACCCCCCTCCCTTTGAGGACCGGCCGGTCCTCCATAGCCCCCGCTTCAATAACACTCTGGTATTTTATACCCATGTGTTAAAAGGTGTATTTCACTTTTTAAACGTAATACTAGTGCTATTTTTCATGTGAAATTAAAAAAAATTGAGTGTTATGTGTGTAAATATGAAGGTAAAGGTGTGAGATATGTAAATACATCAGAATTGTGTGCTATGTAAATGCCACATAAAATAAGTCATTGATTGCATAAGAACTACCTGCATACTTGTAGTTCCAGACTAGTGATGTCTCCCGATGTTCAAAATGAGACCTTGGTGTTCTTTCCGTGAAATACTCGAAAACATGCTGGTAAATCCAATGAAGTTGAGAGCAATAATCAATAAGCACCAAATGTTTATCAGGCACGCAATACAAATCATAGAGCTAAAATCACCTTTACACTGTCAACCCAATCCATATTTAGATGCTCTGGCATTGTTGTCATCCAATCTCCATCAGTAAGACGCAAAAACATTCCATTTTCTGCTGCCAACCACATGTTATACTCACCAAAATTCTGAGGAGAAAAAAAAAAAGTATAAGGGACGGAAAATATCTAATGAAACAGGAAAATGAAGTAATGAAAAATTTGTACATCATCCAGGACACTTCTGTCACTTCCACTAAGGACAATAATGGTAGTCTTCAGATCGTTGCACAATGTTGCCAATGGGCCTTTTAACTCCGGGTGCAACTTAAGCTCCATTTCTTTGATTTGATCTCCACCTCTCCTTCCAGAAGACTCAACCGGTTCTGTTAGAGTTGAATTAAAACCCTGCAGTTTTGAACATGTGCAAGACTCACTGAAAAAATGTTAATAACAAAATCATACACGAATAATAACTCAAACTAAGGCCTTCAAATTCAAATTGTTATAAAATGAAATATTGTAGCTGGGTCAGTTAAAATGTTGCCAATAAAGTCTTTACAAAAAAAAACCCACTCTATATTTACAAAAATTTTAGCAACTGTTTATCAATATTGCATGTGATCAATAGCACTAGGGATTTAGGTTATAAGTTCTAATATTAGGTTTAATCCCCTGAGAAACAGGATAAATAAGCATCTCTTTCTAGTACGTGTTTACACATTTATTTTTGGACAAATTGATTTGGCTTTTATAACATCTTACACTGTAGTAGTCAACTAACAAAGCTAAGAATTAAAATTAATTAATTAATAAACATTGCATTCAATTTTTTTAAAATAATGAAATCTAAACATGAAGTGTAAAATCAGACAATAACAGTATCAAAAGTCGATTCTTGGACAGCAAACATTGATTAATTGCTAATTCGGAAGGCAGTGCTGGTGGAACCTGTCTTGTTCTTAGCTGAGCTTCAGCAACAGTATCATTGAGTTCGCTACAGGGAAAAAAAAAACGGAATTAAGGTAAAAGAACTTTCATGAGCAGGGTTGTTCACATCAGGGAATCAGAGTTTTGACTGTGCTGTAGAAGATGAGAATATGAAGAATGAATACAAAAACAAGGCACAATGACAAAGCAAATCTTGAAAAATATAAAGCACACTCGAGGCACATGATTATTCTATTTGTGAGTATGAATCAACGCACATAAGCAGAAATAAAATTAAATCTATGCTAATAAAATGTGTTTAATAACTGTTAAGTAGCAGCATAGAATTCATTTTACAGTTTAAGATTTGTGGATGAAACATAGAAGCCAAAACTTAGGAGCACCTCAACCAACGACATAGTTAAGGGGAACTGACCAGAAGAAACAAGAATCTAACATACAAAAAAAATCGTGCAGTTGAGCCACGTGGAGAAACATTCAAGTGCCTAAATTTTATTACGGAAAAAACAAGATGGATCATGATCCTATTTTATTAGAGAGCAAAAAATGAGAGAAAATGATCTCCACATAATGTTCTAGGGCATCAAAACGCCTGTGAAAAAAAGTTTCTTTATCAATAAATACATGCTAATACAAATACGGAATCATTTACTCATTTGTAACAAGCGGTTAGCACAGATATTGAATGGGATGAAAAGGTATGTGATGTGTTCACACTTCACAGCATAAATAAGAAAGTTTGTGTTAAATAGGTTAATACATAGAATAATGTCGTATGTATGCATCCTTCCCTTGTAAAAATAGTCTACTTATATCATATTAGGCATCATTGATCATATTCGTACCTTACAAAAGTTTCTGCCCAGTCTTGGGTTGTATGAGTAGTTACATGGGCATAATTGTGCCTGTGGCGCTTTTCTCTCTCATCAGGAGGCATGTTCAATGCATAGACTATTGAATTAGCAACCTCTGTGATGTTCCATGGATTTACAAGTAAGGCACCAGCTCCCAGAGACTGTGCTGCTCCTGCAAACTATATAAGAAATTATATAACAGTGCAAATTGTTCCAGAAGAGCCCTGAAAAGCATGAAAATAAGAAGAAACCCAGAGGAGTTGAGGAACAATTCTGAAAATTTAAATGCAATGATTGTATGTGTGCAAGGGAATACACAAAACGTAGTAGAGAAACCCTAACGATTCCAGAAAGCTCAGAAACAAGTAGAAACATAGATGTTGCAGCTAGAAACTTATCAATTCATATCAATTACAACCATATACAAAAATTCCTGCTTCACTAAACTCTATACACGAGAATAGTTTAAATAAATAAATTGGGAAGTGTAACAAGAAAGTGATGACCTGACGACGCTGATAAAAGCAACAGAACAAAGACGGAAGGTGAGAAGGAAGTTTTTCTTTTTCTCTCCAGTGAGCATAAATGGAGGACTCATGCTCAAATTTAGAGAGGGAATTTGAGAGAGGAAGAAGGCTAGTGAAGAAAGAAGAAAATATTGCATCTTGCATGTCTTTGAATTAGTCAATATTTATTTATCAATGTCGCCATGGACATAAGTAGATTTCACACAATAATGTAAAATATCACGTTCTTTTTCTGGTGTTCTACACGAAGGTTATTCTTCTCATTCTTGTGATTGCCATTACTCTCGAGCATTCATTTTTTCCCAACATTTGGTAGCATAGCAAGATTACCCTTAAAGTAAGCACGAAATTTGTAAATAATGTGGCATATAAAGAGGGTGAAGTTAGAATCGATCAATTCGATGGAAAAAGCTATGGGTAGTGGAAGATGCAAATTGAGAACTGCTTGTACCATTAAAAGTCGCATCTCTCCCTTGGCGAAGAAGCTCACTACCATTAGCCCAGAAGACTAAGATCTCCTGGGCAGATAAGTGTTAGAGAGTAAAATGGATATCACCGACGAAAAAATATTGCCTTCGTTTTATTTCTCGAGTAAACCAAAGTGTGTAATGGAAACTTTACCATAGTAGTACAAGAAAGCAACAACAATAAATAAGGTGCATTTAATAAGAAATCTTTCAAATAGGATGGTTGAGGGTGCTTCCATAACAGTGCATACAATTAAGTTCAGTATAATTAAAAGTCAAGTGAGCTTAGTGGTGATCAACTTTGACAATAAAATATTAAGCTTATTCTCATCATTTCTAGAGAGCTGGTTTTGAAATGTGATAGTTGTCACTAGTTCATTTTAGTCTAAAAAGTTAAATCTAACTGATGCTTCTGACCTAAACTTGAGTGAGAACACCAAAAGACATGAATCAGAAGAAGGATCTTCATCACTTGCTCTAAAGATAGCAGGTATTATCCCTGCTACGTGGACCTCTTTTGCCCAGACAGATCCTTTGAAGGCATCTCCTACTGGCGATTTTACCCTATCATTGTTTGCACGCGCTGACATCAACAAACTCCTTGAGCTTCCCATCACGGATGAGTTCTTCAAACATGTTTCTAAGATGATGACACTCCTCCGTGTTGTGATCGTGGACCCGGATGTACTTACACTACCTCTTCGGATCCCTTAAGGTCGGGGCCGCCTTCAGTGGCATGGTCGATTTGAAGTAGTTATTGTTTTGGATGGTCTTGACTATTTCGGCCATCGACAAGTTGAGGGGTGCCCAACCTTACATTTCCTTGTAAACATGTGGTCACTCATAATATTGAGCCAACCGTTGACTAGAGCATTGCTTTCGGTCGTTTCTCCGCTGATATCGAGACCAATAGTTATTTTTTTTGGTGATTGGTTGAGGATTTATTGTCCTTCGCCCTTCGTGGCTCACTCCGTTATGTCCGCTTCTTTGAGGGGTGGTCGGATGATTCCGGCTTACCCTTTAGGGAGCCTTGGAGGTCTTCCTCGGCAAGTATGTGCTCGTTTGTCATCTCCAATACTTATGCAAAAATAAGATTAAACAAATTTAGGTCATACCTGAACCGCCTGCTTCGCACTCGCTTTGAAGTTATTTCGGCTATTTCATGCTTTAGATTTCTAACTTCTAGTATCTCGTTACGGAAGCTTGTGATGTAGTCCCGTGGACTCTTGCTCTCTCCCTGTTTAATGTCATGCAAGGTGTTAAAGTCTTTTATCTGTTTGTGCACGTTTGAGAAATGCAAAATGAAGAGTCTTTTAAATTAATAGTAATTTGGGATGGTTTTGGTTGGCTGACCGTTAAACTATCAAAGGGTCGATTCCTTCAATGTGGTTAAGAAGATGCGACATATTATAGGATCATTGATCTGGAGCAAACTGATTGACGACTCGAACCTGCGGGTGGCCAAATAGGCACTCACATTCACTCTTCCCATTGCATGTTCGCCTGCATAGACGCGACTGTGTCAATGTGTTGGGATTCACCCTGTCATTCTATCTGCTGGTTGCTGACCTGGTTGTGTAGGATTGGCGAGTTCCCTTGTGGGGGCCTTTGGGGACGAACCCCCTGAGATTGAAAATTCAAACGAGACGCTTAGTTGTTTTTATAGGAAATTGCTGCTCAAAGAACTTTGAATTGCTTCGTCATGAGATTCATTTGGGCTTGTAAGCCCTGGACTTGCGCATGGAAGTCTTGTTGCGTAGCGCCTATGTTGGGTTCCATGCATGTTATATCTCTCTGGAAAGTTTTTGTGTAGTTGGCTCCGCTTCTCCTCTGAGGCATGTCCACACACACGACACCATCTTTCAGGATGTTGGATCACAAATTGCAATTTTGTGAGCATGCTTCAAGAGTTAGAGCTGAGTGAAGGAGAAAAAGAGAGTAGAGTTGGTCAACAATTTACAGTCGAGAGAATCGAGGGAGAGACCCCTTTATTCTTATTTTTGTCACCTATTTATTTGAGTGTATTTTGTATATTTACAGCGAGAAGAGAACAATTATGGAAACCGTTCTTGATATGATTTATTCTTTAATTAATTATATAGATTTTACATCATATTGGTATTATAATTTGATAACATAGTGGTAATCGGCGGATCGACTTGTCTGAATACGGCTGATTAAGGCGGTCGGTCGACTGACGACAGTGTCTTCTAACATGTGTGTTGGTTGGTCGAGGCGTCAGTCATATGACGGTCTGGCTCGCCTCGAGTCGCGATCAACCAACTGTGGTCGGGTGAGCCATGGCCCACTTACCCTTCAAGTCGAGTCTTAGAGGACTTGTGTCTCGCGTGTCTGGTAGGTTCATCACATTGGCCGAATCTCTCTATCTCACAATGACTTGGGCGGATCTTGTTACTCTCTATGCGAGGTATCTGATGAGACTCACTGCTGAGATGATTCACACTTCACTTTAGGCAGACTCTTCGCTACCGAGCGAACGAACTCATGTTATAGCGCCAAACTTCCTCGGACAACACGGGAAATCATTGGCTTTGACACAATTGAGACATGCGAACTTCTTGTATCAGGCGAATGAACTCCCTGCATCATCAGACGAACTAATTAACAGGAACAAAACCATGGAATGAGCTCAAGCAACCATGCGTCATTATAAATAAGGAATGAACTGAGAAATAACTTTGAATGTTCTTGCTCATTTGAATTGTATGAGCCTATTGGCAAGACTGGCAATGGCTTACTCGTCTAAACCGTTCTTTCATCTTTACATAATCCTTTTCTTTGTTCCCATGAAAACATACACTGTTACCTGTCAACAGGTCAGGAATTACATGTCTTCATAAAAGGATTGTGCAATAAAGATTGAACATTAGAAGAACAAACGAATTTAGAAGCAAACAAAAAATTCCAATTTATGCATTTTAAAATCCACATCAACATACTATCTATGCAATAAAGATTGAGATTTTAAACATAAATTGATTCTTACAAACAACATCAACATAAATTCTCTCAGAAAAGTTTGCCTGTGTTGAACACTTACATACATACCGCTCAATTCATATGTATTTATATATATAACACAAAAACTTTAATTTCTTACAAATACAGACGTATCACTCAATTCAACTGGTTTTACATATTTAACACCTAAACTTTCATTCTTTACATATATGACATATAGCGTTTTTCCTCGCATGAAAAGATGTATTCACTTTTTAAAAGCACATAAACCTGCAGAAACATGAACAGGGACAATTACGCCTTCAATATTCAATTACCCATGCATTTAAACAAGTCAAGGACTTTGAAATTAGATCTTCATTTGCCATCAATATACAGAACATTGAAGAGCTTTAGAAATCAAACAACATCCAAAATCATGTTTGCCCAAAATGAATGCCTTGTATGATTAATTATACATTCAACAATTTTAATATGTATAAAGAACTATATGAATATTAACTTTCCCAGCAGGCATCTAACTGCCCTCATGCACACATTTGGTCTTGTCTATTTGAAATGTTTTGAGCCTTCGTTGTTAGGTCTTTTGTCAGAGGTCTATAGGAGAGGGATGACTAGATGTATGTCTCTGGCGGACTTGAAGTGTTAGTTGGGAAGAACTATAAGTCTCAAGTGATTTGCATGTAAAGTCTGCTTTTAAATCTCATTTCACTTTAACTTGGAAAATGGAGATAATATGGAGCACCATAAAAAATGTCAAGGAAGCAAAGACTACAACCAAAAATGCACACTTATCCCCAAAAAAAAATGGATGCAGGGTGGTAGTTTAGTAACTTAAAATCTCAAAAAAAAAAATTCATAACAAGATTATTAGATATGTAACCATCCTTATAAAAAGGAATAATCATAGCAATTACAATAAAAATCAAAGCTTTTAAAATCTTAATCTGCACTTAGACAGCTTCAAACTTCTTTGTGGTGCTCTCTTTTAAGGACTCTAATGCACAAATCTCCAAGTTGTTGCAGACATTGCTGAATTAATGTTGAGGATGAGCATCCACCATAAGCTGCCTCATGTTGTTTGAAGTCATCCATAATTTTTCATCTTACATATGCATAAAAGATGTATTTAACTTTTTAAAAATAAAAATATTGATACATTTTAAGGTATAAATGTAAAAATAAATTTTAGTCATTATATCTACAAATACATAAAAATAAGGCTATATGTATGGAAACATTCACCGTCCAACATCAAAGTCCTCACAAGAATTATTGTCCCTTCTTCAACAAAATATCAACTTAAGTCGAACATTGATTGTAGAAAGCCTTACACAAAACATTAGTCCCCGTCCTCCATGAACATCTTGAATTGATGCCTATCTTTCACCTACATCGCTTTAACTTGCTTTTTATATCAACAACAACAAATCATCCCTTTAACTTTAATTGATGCCTATCTACCCAACAACAACAACAAATCATCCCTTTAACTTGCTTTTTATATTGTATTTTGCTGTAAATTTTTTAGCACGCAGTAGTTCGAATATGAAGTTGATACTGAATTTATACCTCAAACACAAAAAATGCCAGCAAACCCAATCATTCTCATTAAAGCAAATTGTAGATAGCCAACAGCAGTATTAAACACAACATATTAAAAATAATAATAATAAAATAAAACACCCATAATATTGGAACATGCTAAATAAATTCCAACCAAATACTTCTTCAAACATAAACAAATTCTCTAGTTATTAAAGTCATTATCTTCGAGTTCATACTAATCATAAAAATAAATATTTCCTTTCATTTCAAAAGAAAAAGATTATCCCATCCATAGCACTCGACACAATGCATCATTTCACCTGCTTCCTGTTTAATATCTCTTCAAAGCCATCGGAATGCCTTTCAATGCCCGGCATCATTAGCATTCTTGGATGTGGTAAAAGTGCTCCTGAGACATCTCCCCACCAATCCGGATTGTTTGTGTACCATTCCAAAGTATTTTTCAGACCCTCTTCCCAAGTTGTTCTTGCTGTCCAACCCAAACTTTTTAGCTTCTGATCATCGAGAAAATATCTTTGGTCGTTGAACTGCCTGTTGTCGACGAACTTAATCGCAGTGGTGGGATCCAACGCAAAAAGCTTACAGATATCTTTCGCTACATCAATCACCCTCCTCTCATTCTTCGTCCCAATATTGTAGAATATTATAAACATGGCCGATCTCCCCTCTATGAAGAATAACCTCAAAAGCCTCGGCAACGTCCTCACAATAAAGGAAGCTTCGAACGTTAGAACCGTCTCCATGAATCGGAAGGGTTTGTCCTCTCATTGCCAGAAGGATGAACTTTGGAATCAGCTCTTCGGGATATTGATTTGGTCCGTAGACATTGTTACCGCGGGGGATTATGACGGGTAGGCCATAGGACCTTCCGGCCCTTCCGTAAGCCATCACAAGCATTTCAGCTCCGGCTTTGGTGGCGGAATACATTCTCATACGGGTTCATAGGGAGGAGCTGAGAGGCTTCGTGGTTGCCGACGATGGCATTCTCATCGGTCTCCCCATAAACTTCATCTGTGCTGACATGGATGAATCTCCTTATTTGACCGGAGACCTTGCAGGCCTCAAGCAGAACATGAGTTCCATAGATGTTGTCCTTAGTGAACTCAATGGAGTTGCCGAAAGAATTGTCAACGCGAGTCTGAGCTGCGAAGTGCATTATTGTGTCAATGGACTTCGTGACGAGAAGGTACTGGAGAAGATCAGCATTGGCGATGTCGCCCTCAACGAACTTCAAGTTTGGGGAGGATCCAGAAGGGGAAAGGTTTTTAAGGTTGGAGCAGTAGTCGAGTTTGTCGAGGACCATAATTTTGTAAGCGGGGTAGTTGCGGATGAGCCTGTTGGCAACATGCGATGCGATGAAACCAGCAGCCCCGGTGATGAGGATGCTTTTAGGCTTATAGGATTCCATCGCTTTTTGGTTGTTGCAATATATCTAAGGCTTTCAAGCTGAGAGTGCGGAACCAAACTCCTGCAAAGAACTTTTAGATTTAGAGAACGAAAATGCAGAATAGAAATAGAAATTTTTGTTTTTGAGACGGAAAAAAAGGGTGGGGATTTACATACGCTGGAAAGTAAAAAATATAGTGATATTTGCCTCAAATAAAACAACTGAAGGAGAATTGCCTTTTTTAAAAAAATGATGGCTATCTAAAAAAATCTAAATGAGCCATTTTCATATATAAATGGAATCTTATGTGTTGACATAATTACTAATCCAAATAAGTTGGGACTTGGGAGTTCTTTTCATGAAACCAAAAGAATTATAAGTTGAAAGAAAATGAATGATAAAAATATAGAACAAAACAAATTAAGCCCAAGTCCTGTACCCCATAAATAATATTTTTACCTTTTGTGAACATGTGGTGATTAATCAAATATGCTGAAGAGAAGGAGTATTACATGATGCTTTCAATTGAAAATGCTTATTTATCATTTTTTTTTTTCCTTAAAAAACAAATTCACTTGCATTATAACATACAATATTCATCAAGCGCACAAGAAATTTAGCCTAGATTATTTTTTGGCATCAAGTTGTTATCACAACAACGTTCCTTGTTTTATGCTACACACATGGAAGGGATACAAAGACAAAAGAACTGCTTATTACCTTGAATATGCTTCCAAACGCTAAACCCTAAACGAAAAAGATAACAACCTTCATGGAATGCATGAGAATTCAAACAAGCATCGTTACAGCAAGTGGGTCATGTTGAATGCAAATATTGTTTGAGAGGGTGAAGAAGAAAATAAAACTACCATTCATGAAGGAATGACCATTGAAAGTAAAAGCTAAAAGTGGATATTCCTACTATAGATATTAAATGGTGCTCATGAGGTCGCGGTGCTATCCATTTCCTTCTTTTTCATTTCGAAGTTTCAGGAAATAAGTGTTGAGCAACATGTAGTTCTAATGGCAGACTAGGATTGTGAATATGAATATGAATGTTTCGGTGTTATACATGTAAATAAATAAGAATTGTGTGATATGTATGGAAATGCCCCAAAAGGAAAAGATACATCAATTACCCATAACCATATTAGAACGACATCGACTATAATAAAATCTTAAAAGTATGACTAGAAAACCACGTATTGAATAACATAAAATCAAAACAAAGAAAATGACATCAAAACATAATGTGGCTTAACAGAACAGATTTTCAAGAACCTAGAGAGCCTGTTTACCATGCAAAATCACTCATTTATGGCATTGTTTCATTTTGTCCCTTAGCATTCAAACATATGACAATGAAATGGCAGGATGTATGAAGGAAATATTTTAGGGAAAAATGGGAGCAGCTTAAGAAGACAAATTAGACGCACGGCCGCATCAGGAATACATTCAACTCCAATCCCGCAATACAATAAAAGAGATGATGAGTTAACGCTCCATAAAAAAATGGGCGATCGAGAAAAAGCACACCCCAATCAGGCAGATCAATTAAAAACTAAAACCAAGGAAACTTCAATTAAGTCTCCACAGAGAAATGAGAAAATGGGTAAAGAAGAAAAATTAAAATCCCGGGCATAAGCAAAGCATGAAAAAACCAGCAACTTTGGACAATCAAAAGACTAGCTCTTGATAAAGTAAAGAATCATAGGAAAAGCGCGGATCTTTCAGACGCGGAAGAAGAGATTCGAGATGGAAATGGGTCTGGTTGCCATACGGGATCCGAAAATCGTCTTCCACCACCTTCTGCCCCTTGTCGACCTCTTCTTCTCGCAGGTAGAGACCTTGGGGCTC